AGAGTTTTTGACATAAAGCAATCTCATTGAACCCACAAAACTTTTGACTATAACCCATCTACGATGATGCAAAGCTTTAAAGGTCGACATAGAAACACAATCGTAAAAAAGGATATTTTTAAGAATAAATACATGTTTCTTCACACGACAAAGCCCTCTCATGAAAACTACCATTCCATCTGTATTCATGATTGCTACTTATTGCATGAGTTTAGAACACAGAGGGAAAAAACAGGGTACCATTCCATGGAGCAAACAATGAGCAGTCATATTATAATACCACCATCAAGAAAAAGAATTACACCACGAAAATACAAACTTGAACAATACTTACATTTCACGAATGGAATTGAAATAGATGGCACTCTCATTTAGGATGAGTGACAAGAATGACGTTAGTGCATAAACCTGTCAAGGAGACAAGAAGAATTTTAAAAAATAAAAGAGTTGGAACATAGCTATAAATTTCGCACAATGTAATATACAGCCCAGAGTCAAGCTAGTTTTGAAAACATATTTGTCATGGTCATACATACAAAATTTGCATTCCCATGTTATTAACAAAAATTAACACCATAACAACCAGACTAAAGCAAATATACCTGATTTCAAGTTCCATAAAGATTCATAACTCTAATATTCACCTACCTGTTGGGGTACATTCAATGCATGTGTTTTCTTTAATTTAGTTTTACTTAGTATTATCTAAAACAAAAAATTATAAAATTCTACTAGGATTGTGAAAATTGCAGTTGAAAAATGTAACCATCATTGTGAAAATAGTCTAGAACGCAGGGTTTTTTATTTATTAGTCAATGGCAAACTGTTGACACGAGTCATAGGACAATTGCACATTTGAACACCACATCCAGATTTTAACCTCCAGTCATAGACAACTTTGAAACTAGTTCTTCCATTAATGGACAAAGATCTATAAACTTAACAGCATTAAGTGTCAATGAATTTGAAATCCCTACATGCACATATTTCCTCCTACTTCTGTTTTTAACAAATACCACAGTTTCTATATCTTCTACACCAGCTTGCCCAGATTAAACTCACCAACTTTCCAATTTAGTTCCTGTCAAAATTTGTGGACATCCTACCTCCAGTGGGATTACAATTCTTTTAAGTTTTATCTAATATCAACAAAACGGCAGTATGAACCCGTTCAAAAATCAACTTGATCCCTACTTCTGGACCTACAAAATTTTAAATACAATGAGGTCTATTGGTCGAGCCGAGCGTCTATCGTTAACAACCTATCTACTTTCATTAATTAGGGGTAAGGTCTGTACACACTACCCTCCCCATACCCCACTTGGTGGGATTATACTGGGTTTGTTGTTGTTATTGTAATGAGGTCTATTGGTCATCTTATACCTACATACAGCCAAATGAATTAACTTGCAGCTGTTTAGTCAACTTTTTTAAGAATTGTTTTTGAAAAGAAGTGCATGCTGCAGGCAAAAGGAAAATATGTTTAGATAGTTGTAATTTTTGAAGATTATGAGTATTTAGTGAGTAGAAGAACTACTCAAACCACGTCGTCAAAGAAAAACATTTTTTTTTTGGATAACCTTGGTATCAAAGCCCAAATTCTTAAAATCTTTTTTTGCAAAAACTTCTTTAGAAAACATAAACAAACAAGTTTTGATTATGCAGATGATCAAATACAGTAAGTAGTCTAGAATATTACATTTGCAGGTTTGACGGGGAAGAAGAATAAAGGCCAAGAGAGAGAGACTCACAGGAACCATAAAGATGATGCGGACAATGTACCGTTGATAAGTAGGCTCAGTGTAATTCAAAAGGTGTCTGTATATGTGCAAAAGCGCCAGCCCAATAGCACCAACGGTGCAAGGCAATGCAATGAGGATATAGTATATCGGCGCCATTTGTTCGGCAAGCTACCAACAATCAAACATAAACACCCTTCTCTGAAACTTCAGAAATATAACCAAATCAGTACCATTGAAACAATTTATGAAATAAATAGATAAATAAATCCAACAAAATAGGGGGAAAAACAAGAATTCACTTACAGAACTAAAGAAAGAGCTCAAAACCCCCTATAGCTGAGAACTTCTTTCCTTCACCAAATAGAAGAAACTGTTGCTACAATTCAAGACTTGGGCTTGTTTAACTTTAATTGGGAGTACACCGACCTCGGGGCTCAGGAAACCCTAATTAAATACAAATGTTAAGATTTAACATATCAATCAATGTGTAATTCTATAAAAATGTACATAATTCATTTAATGATCAAAGAAATTAAACAAAACTTCAAATTCTAACTGGGGTTTTCCCTATATAAAAAAGAGAATGGATATGNAAAAGTGTAATTCGATAAAAATGTACATAATTCATTTAATGATCAAAGAAATTAAACAAAACTTCAAATTCCAACTGGGGTTTTCCCTATATAAAAAAGAGAATGGGTATGTTCGCGAAATATTTTAAAAAATATAGAAATGGGTTAAGCAATACTCACCTTATCGATGCAATCGGGGGGGAAAGATATTAAAGAAGTGCGCAAAACTGGGTCATTGGGGAATTGTCGGAGAAAGTGAAAGTTCAATGAAGACGATGGAACTATATAGATCTGCGATTTAATAAATCAAAAGAAAAAAAAAGGTTTGGCCAAAGCGCTGTAAGTGAATTGTGGGGGCTTGTGGGACAAGGGGGAGCAATAATGGCTGCTTCAGGGAGAGACGTATTTTATTTGCTGGAATTGTAAAACAGATATCGCTTCAACAAAACTTGCCAGCAGAGGATAAAATCTTTTTCCTTCATTTGTTTTTCTTCTTAACTGTAATTCTTTTTTCGTAAAAAGAGACAGGTGGCATTCAATTTGTATTTAAGAGATAGTATTCGTTGAGCTGTCTCTGATTCGACTATTCAGATAATTAAATCAATTAGTAACAATCACTAATCATTAACATTTTGTTTTTTCCTTTTTTAATTTTGATTCTCAATCATATTCGAAATAACACTTGCTTTTTACTCTAACTAAATTGCGTGTATACGCATAGAATTTGGGGAAAACATTTATAATTTTTAAAATAAAAGGAGATATTTTTTAGAATTGGAGTTGATTTTTTCTTTAGCAGCATTTCCATTAATAAATCTGCACTATGCATCGTAATTATTGTACTCGGACAAACTACAAGGATAATGTTTTCTTCTTAAATCAAAGACAAAGATAATATGTGTGAAAAAATTAGAACTGCTTACTATAATTGTATAGCAATTTTAAGAGCACACTACGAGCCCGTTTGGATTAGCTGATTGTAAATAGCTGATAAGCTTGTAGTGCTGAAAAGTTTTTTTAAGTGCCGAAACTGATTTTTAAAATAAGCATTTACGTGTTTGGATAGAAGTGCTGAAACTGATAATAAGTAGTTGATGTGTTTGATTAAAAAGTGCTAATAAGCTATTCTTTTGTTAAAATGACTAAAATACCATTGAATTTTTTTCAAAAGATTATAAATTAAAAATTTCTTTGTAAAGAAAAGAATTAATAACGAATATGGAATGAAGAGAAAGTCAAGAAATTTATTTTGGGAAAAGTATTTTGTGAATTAGAAAATATTATTAAGGATAAACTAGTAAAAGTGCTTATAAGTTAAAAAGTCATAAGTTGAGGGTGATTAGCTTATGACTTATGGTTTATTTTAGCACTTTGAGTGTTTGCCAAACGCGTAGATAAGCCAAAAAGTGTTTATAAGCCAGTTTGACCAGCTTATAAGCTTAGCCAAACACCCTCTACTTGTAATAAAACAAGATATAGAGGATTGTAATTTTTCATACACATTATCAGGGATTCTAGACTCCACTTTATGAGATTACACTGGGTTTATTATTGTTGTTGTTATTATTTCAGGGATTATAATCACAAAGATGTGCATTGAAAAAGTGATACCAAACTTACAATTTTGTAAAGGCAGCTTTCTCTATTTTGCCTTGGAAATGAAGAAAGAGCATTTACACGTGAGAAAGATACATAATAAGCTTTTTGGGAAGTGGTAATAAGGATAGGTTTTAAAAAAGTCACAGATGGGATTTTCATATAGTGCTTTCTTTGATAAGATAAAACGCAAGTAAGAAACATAGATCTGTATAAAACTAACTGTTAAATGGCTGTTAAGACTACCACTGTATTCAACGAGGAAGACAAGCTAAGAGGTCAAAGACGAGTTGCACTAATCCATTGGACATTCTCAAATACTTTTCTAACATCTAGAACTTGTCGCTGCATAACAATCACAATCCTGTTTGATTCTGACACTATTTCTTTATTTATCTTTTTCAAAGCACATTTTTTCTGTGTCTATACAAAAATACAGACGACACCATTCAGTTAAAATTTATAGACCATCATATTTGGTAAAGGTCGAAAATGTCTCTTTAGAGAACACGATAGGACACAAAGACAGGACATACTAGACGAGTATCAATTGTACACTACGACTTCTTTTCTTCTTTTCTTTTCCCTTTGGTGGTAAATTTCTGATAAAAGAACAAAGACCCTCGTGCTTAATGATCTACTACAGCTGCATGTTTAGGATGTGAGAAACCAAAGGTTTTCTCATTAGAAAAATTCTGTAGGCTTTGTAAGGGAAAAGGGTAGCAGAAGCACCAAAGACTAAAAGAGGGCCACTTTATAGGATTATAATCCAGAGACTTTGTTCATCGCTCTGGTTGAACGGTACTCGCAGAAAAGGATGGCAGTGCTATTAGCCAGAGGTTAACTATCAGATCTCCCGAACGTGATTTGGGGTGCAAATTGGAATTTGTTAGTCCTACATCTGTTAAGGAGCTTTGGAGTCACCAGCCGAGCAAGTGGTCGCCATGCTTGGTGGAGTTCGTCAAACTATAGAAATAACTTCATAAAAAAGTAGCATCATTTTTGGTCATTACCAGATACCGCAAGATCAATGTGAATTTTGGGAACTAGGATGAAGCTTTCATGAGTCTTTCGGGTAGAAGATTTTGTTGATTCCAAATATTATATGAAGTTCATCCGAAAGAAGTAATTGCCAAGAACTAGAAAATCAAATTTCCTCAAGCACAAAGTTCTCTGCATGTTTTAGTAATCTGTTTCCATATGACAATAAACAAGAATCTCCCTAGTACAACAATTTACACAGCAAACAGCTATTAAGTAAAAAAAAAACATCTTTTACTTGCCATAGAAAACCTGCATTATGGTCCTATGAAGTGGTCCTCTTTTATTCTTCAACACCTCCCTCATCTTAATCTCTTCAGGCACAGCTCCTTTGCTCTTCACTATCTCCAATAACTCTTTTCCTTCTTCCTCCATTCCTGCCTTCACCAACCCTTCATAACTACCCAAACAAGTAGCTGCATTGGGCTTCATCCCCCTTTTCTCCACCATCTCCAGCACATACTTTTTCGCCTCTTTCACAAACTTCCCTTCTCCACTCTCCGCTAACGACTTGATCAAAACACTATACGTATACGCATTGGGAAGCACCCCATTTGCCAGCATCCGCAGGTAGACCTTGTGAGCCTCCTTGGGCTGTCCCGCATTGGCATATGCCTCGATCACCGCTGTATGAGCCACAACATCTGGCATTTGATTCTTGTCCTTGATTTGAGAGAATAGTTCCAATGCCTCGTGAGTCAACCCGTCCTTTGACAATCCGTCGAACATCTTCACTGCATTGTTGATCAGCCCATCAGAGCGTATCGCCTGAAACACTTCTTGCAAGTTCGTCGGGTCTTCAGGTTCCTCAATTACGGGTTTCTTATTAAATGGATCGTATGGTGGTGGTAATTTGGATTTGTCTATCTGTTTAGTCGACGACTTCGTATCCGCCTCAGAATCGGAGTCCTCTGAATCAGATAATGAGAAATTGACTAATGTGTTTCGCTTCGGTGGAGCTGCAGTTGGGGTATTCGAAATGGGTGTTTCTGGGGTGGTAGTAGTGGTGGAAAATGGTGTGCTTCTGAATGAGCTAATTGTGGAAACTGAAAAGGAGGACACTGTTTTGGGGATTTGGGTTGGGAAAGAGGAGTAGTGGTAACGAAGGGAATAAGAGGAAAGCAGACGGCGAAGTATTGAGGTGGAAGACGCTGGAGAGACGGTGAGCCACCGGGTAATGGTTATTCCGGCCATCGGCGATGTGACGGAGTACAACGTTAAATGTGATAGTAGCAGCTCCGTTTTGATTTGCTGGAACGGGTTAACCCCTTTTCCCGCTCTTAAGACATGAGATTAGGCTGTTTTGGCCCATGAAATAGTAGGACTCTCAGAAGCCCAATTTCAGGTGAATTACCTCCAATTATTTCGGGGGATGTTTTGCAAATACACACTCACAGCAAATTATTTACCGCCCCTACCTATAAAGTTTTTTCCCTAACCATTTTTTTAATGAGAAAACTACCCTCTATAGTCCATCAAAATTTTAATAGCCCATATTTTTTTTACTCACACTAAATGGCCCTTCGGCCCAAACTTATTGCATCTAATAGCCCGAAATATCTATTTTGTATATTTTTTGTATAGTGGCAGTCTGTTTTGTATATTGACAGTCTATTTTGTATAGTAACAGTCTATTTAGTATATATTTTGTATAGTGACAGTTTATTTTATATATATTTTGTATAGTGACAGTCTATTGTATATAAATTGTATAGTGGCAGCCTATTTAGTATATTTTTGTACAATGATAGTCTATTTTGTATAAATTGTGTATAGTAACATTCTATTTAGTATATTTTTTGTATAATGACAGTTTATTTTTGTATATGTTTTGTATAGTGACAATTTATTGTATATAAATTGTATAGTGACAGTCTATTTTGTATAATTTTTGTATAGTGACAGTCTATTTTGTATATATTTCAACTTTATGCATAGTTATCTCCTCTCATCTTCCTCTCATTGAGAGACTAGCCATCGGGGTCCATGGCCTCACGGTCGCCGGAAATGGTAACAAGATCGCCGGAGTTTTAAATTTTCATCCAAAGTTCTTCAAAATATTAACTTCATATTCACAGAAACTATAAGAGAAAAATCAGAGAAAGAAGACAAGGTCACGAGAGTCGTGGTTGGCGGAGTTGCTTCTTCTGTGGTCACCGGCGACTCTGTCGGATTCCGGCCACCAGTGTATAGGGTCGAGGCTAACGTCAAGATCTATCGATTCATGTGGATATTGAATGGTGGTGATGGCTGAAACTCCGTGAAGTTCAAAAGAAATAAAAGGGCATAAGGTTTCAGATTTGGGATTTTGAGAGATTGGTGAGGATTTGAAAGATTTGGATTGTAGATATGGAAAGGAGAGGAGGAAATGAGAACGGTGATATAATTTTTGTGGGGTTTGGCGGTGGTCGATGGAAGCGGGTGATGGAGCTAAGGCGATACTGCCATGGGGAGAGAGGGAGAGGAGGAGAGAGAAGAGATTAGGGTTTGGGGCTTGAGAAATGAAGGAAAATTCTATTTTTTTTGTTGCTTTTATATTTAAAATCATATTCAATTTGGACTATTCTGCCGCCGATAAAACAAATCTTGTGGCTAGCCACTATAATGAATAAAATGCATATTGCAATTTTGGGCTACCGGATGATATATGTTTGGGCCGATGGACTATGAATGAATTTTGCTCTTTTTTATAATGCCCGGGCCTTCCGACCAAATAAAGTCAAACTAAGCTATTAAAACCAAGCCAAGCGAAGCCAATTCACGCCAAACCAAGACAAGCCAAACCAAATTAAGTCAAACCAATACAATCCAAACCAAGTCAAACCAATCCCAAACCAAGCTATGTTAAGCCAAACGGGTGAGAAAAGTGGGATGGGTGATGGCAGGCTAGAAACCCATATTTTAGCCGTAGTTTACACTCTAATTACTATATTTGTACGTGTGTTTGAGTTTAAATGATAGTGAATTATACTTATTACGTGTTTTATGTCTTGCAGGAAGTGATTCCAAGTTAAAAAGATAAATTGGAGCTAAATCGAATAATTTGGAGCTTTGATGTATGAGTAAAAGCCCAAAGAATTAAACGGGGATTGCGTTCAGAGGTCAAGGACCAAGTCCGGATATCAAAATGCGAAAGAAACAACTTACTCTGGAAAAAAATACAATGACTCGCCGCAAGGGGCACCGCGAGGCGCAACGCGGTAGTGTAAAACTTGCCCGACGTACAAAATTCAAGTCCTTTATAAATCCACATAGGCGCATCACATGGCACAGCGCGGGGCACCTGTGCATTTTCCTTGGAGTATTTCCTGTTTCGGCTTGAAAAGGGTAGTTTCGTCGGGCCCCACTTTTATACGGTATAATTACACTAAAAACACGTTTTTGAAGGGACTTTTGACCTACGAAATATTTGAGAAGCAACTAAGGCAATAAGACATAATAATTCATCAAGATTTCAACCAACAATCAGTGCAATATGGGATATCGAATCATTAGCATTGATGTTTTCTATGTTTTTAAACTTTATTGAGATGACTTTTTCCATAGCTATGGAGTAATTTCCTGTATGGTGTTGACAGATATGGTGTATTGATAACTTGATTAGGGATTCAATTCTTGACAATTGTTGAAATTAATTGGAGTTTTAATTCGTATTGTGAAGTTATTTATTATTTTGCTTAATCGAAAGAGGACCTTGATATTGAATTTCTTTACATCTTATGCTCTAGTTTAATTTCATGATTCAAATAGGTAATCGAAAGAGCCTCTTGAATTATTAATCAAACTAGAAAATAGAAAAATATTCGTGAGAAGTTACCTTTTGGACCATAACTATCATTTTATTCGTTGCAATTGTTTACCATGCTTCAATTGGATTAATTACTGAAATTAACGTTTAATCGAAAGAGGAACATTAACTTCAAGTGTAATCTGATTATCTGTTGAATTCGTGAGAATCAATAGTATTATATAGTGACCTAACTGAAGAATTGGATCCCGAGTCAATTATCTTGCACTTGTCTAGTCAATTACCGTTATTTCTCTCATTGATATTTCTTTGTTGGTCGAATGTTGTCTTTCATGATCAATTGTTAATTGCTTAATTTCAATAGTCAACCGTAGTTTATAAGCATTCAATCAAGTGTTAGTTTTTCTTGATAGTAATTAACTAAAAATTATTCGACCGCTGTTTAAATCCAATTCATGTAGATACGATAATTTAATTATACTATCTTTGACTAGCAAGATTATATTTTGCGCTCGTCAATGGGTAGGTAGGTTGGGTGATTAGTTTTAATTGGGCAAGTATATATTGTAACTAGTTTTGAAATGGATAGAGAAGGGTAATTAGTTTAAGCTCAATGGGTATTTTTTGCATAAATTGCTCATTATTTTGTAAGAATTTTGCCAATTGTCCCTTTTTGTATCAATTGTTTAATAAATGTTCCTCTTTTTATTTTTCTTTCTTGCAATTAATAAAATTTTTAGATCTGGATCTAAAGATAATGTTTGAGAAAATTGAAAATCTCATGAGAAAACGGTAGACCAAAATCTAAATTATATAAGTTATTGCAAATATTTGATCACATTTTAATATTTTTTGAGCAATTGAAAATCATATGAGTAAATAATTTTGCATTATTAAGGGCTATATTTTCACAACTTTTTAAAATATGGACAAAATCTAAACAATACCTAAAAAGGAACATTTTCATTAATCAGCCGATTATTTTTCCTGCAATTTGCACAAAGGTAAGAGTGTCTCTCTTTAAAATATTGACACAAGTTAAAATTATTTTTAATTAATAAAAGTCATTGCATATAAAAAGAAATTGCTAAACTCTGCATGAAGAATATGAAAGAAGTTTGCAGCAATAAAAGTTCAATTGTGATTTTTGCCTATGTGAGCTTGTTCATATTAACAGTCTCAAATTCAAATTAAGGAGAAATATATTGTTAGATTAACATCCATTATAAAACTTGTCATGTTATGATGAATCCTTATAAAATAATTAATTTGAAATTGCAGAGGCATAGTAATTATTACTATAGTAAGAGTCTAACGATGAACTGAAATGTGACCACCATTAAGAAGCATTCAACCTGTCGAAATTGAAGCTAGCATTGCAGACCAACCTCCATTATTGACTGTCCTCAAACTTCCATAGAGAGAGAAGGGGAAGGTTCGAGAGAAGAAGAAATTGGGGAATTTTTCTGTGTATTTGTCACGACCCAAACTAACCCTCCGTAAGTTGTCGTGATGGCACCTAGTCTTTATGACTAGGTAAGCCTAATATTACGAAAAATATAAAGAAAACACAATACAAGATAACCAGCATATTGTGAATAACCAAGAGTAGTACCACTCGACATATACAAGATAATTTTTCAAGACCCGAAATATCACTAAGTCACAAGCTGCTATAATCTATGTAGCTCTATACAAAAGTCTGAAGATAATAAAAAAAGTCTATAGGCGAAGGAGTAGAAGGGGACTCCGAAGATCTGCGGACGCACTCCTAGAATCAGCAGTACGCACTAACCTTGAGGCTGATAGCTCGCACCTGGATCTGCACACGAAAACATATGCACGAAAGGGCATGAGTACACCACAATGGTACCCAGTAAGTGCCAAGCCTAACCTCGGTCGAGTAGTGACGAGGTCAGGTCAAGGCCTTATCGGAGTAAATATAATAAATTAAACAGTAAAAGATATAAGTAAAATTTATGATAACACAGTTAAAGAAATTCTCAAAAAATATTTAACAGTTAAGGGAGCCCTCGGCTCATAACAAGGTAAACAAGGTGGGAAATCTCCTGTAGTTCCGAATGAATATGCAGTACATGGGGAACCTCCTGGAATACGTCTGTAGTCCCAAAGTAAATATACAGTGCTGGGGGATCTCCCGAAATACGTCCGTAGTCCCAAAGTAAATATGCAGTGCTGGGGGATCTCCCGAAATATGTCCGTAGTCCCAAAGTAAATATACAGTGTTGGGGAATCTTGCGGAATACGTCCGTAGTCCCAAAGTAAATATGCAAGACAGGGGGATCTCCCGGAATATGCCCGTAGTTCCAATTAAAATATGCAACGCAAGATGAAATGGCAGGTATGGCATTGAGTTAAACAGTTTATACTGAACACAGATAAGAAAAAATAGGGATTTAACTAAGCATGGCGCACAAAATGTCAAATAGGCGGTTAAAATACGTAAGCATGCTTTTCTAGTCTAAACTAAACAATTAAACATATTAGTGCAATTTAATAAGAGAAATAATTTATGATTTAAAAATGATAAACAAGATTTTTG